TAGAAACAGTAACCAATAAGTAAATAAAATAAATAGTAGATGTGAATAAAATAAATGAATTTGGAGATGCTACTGCACAGGGTGCGCAGCAGCATCTACTGTGCAGCGAAAGACTCATTTTGGGGCCTATTTTGATAATCCAAACTGTTCACATTTTAGAATATATCAAGAAAAACATGCCTACAAAAAATCAAGTTAATCGGATATCGTTTACTTATTCATCCACTCACATTTGTAATCATTTTAATACTTTAAATTACAATTATTATTTATTTTTTGTAGATAGAAATGTGAGTGGATGAATGGGTAAACGATATTCGATTAACTTGATTTTTTACAGACATGTTCTACTTGATGTATTCTAAAATGTGAACGGTTCAGATTATCAAAATGAATCCCGAAATGGACCCATTTTGCCACACAGCAGATGCTGCTGCGTACTCCGCGCAGCAGCATCCCCAATCTTTAGGAGCCTTTTGGAAAGTTGTCAAAAAAATTAATTTTTTGACTTTTTAACTTTTTTAGTCAAAAAAATCAATTTTTTTACCTAAAATAATTTAATTTTTTTATCAAAAAAGTTAATTAAAAAGTCAAAAAAATAAAAAAATAATTTTTTGCTAACTTTTTAAAACATCACATAGTAGACGTGAAGTGAAGCCCATAGTTTGGGAAATGTTTTTGGAGGGCATTGGAGGACCCTTTCGTTGTGAAAGTGGCCTTGACTTGATGGTGAATGACGATAAGGTTCTCTGTTTTACTTCACAATGACAAACCACCATTGGAACCCTCACTGGCCCCCACCATCAATCATTCTCAACCGTCCAATATACTCATCAATGCCTTTTGCTTTTCTCTCTACTCCCAGTGTCTAATCTTGGTTTTAAACAAATATTTTAGACGTTCATTATTTGTCCACGTGGCATTGACAGATACCCTGTGGGTGAGAAGTTATTAGTTGCTCACGGAGTATTACTCGATACCATTCATTAAGAGACAAGTGTCTCATTGTTTTAAAAAAGAGACAAAAATGTGTTGAATCTCACTAATTCAACCAATAAAAATCAAGTTGAAACACCAACTCAGTTTGCCCCAGGAGCAAATAATAATTTTCTCAGTAGGTGCGACCCACAGATTTCGAGCAAACACGTGTCGCCCAGTGAAAGGACAGTAGGCAGCAGGGTGGTTTAGTGTCATACCCATGTTGACTGTGGGCCCCCTCGATTTTGACGTAGTCAGTCCAACAAGATACGAAAAAATTATTACTTGATTTAGTGACGTCTATTTCTTATTAATCATAAATTATTATTTTTTTTATTCGTTAATTATTTAATATAAAATTATTAAATTTATTTCTTTGATCAATTTCAATACTTTTGAGGTTCATATCTCAAAATTAGCTATTAACTTCTTTGAGTAAAAAGTTTGAGACCCTCAATTTGGGGACTCCATGACCTCCAAATGTGTGTAATTAGTCAATATGTATTTTTTTTCTCTCTCTCTCTCTCGCATATGATGACGTAGGAGTTATGGGAGTGAATTTTTTATGGGGTCTCAATTATTGTTCTTTTAATAATTAAAATTATAAATTTTTTATAAATTTATAAATACTTTGTGAAAATATAATTGATTTAAAAATTTTCCAATTATTTTGTTAGGCTTCTTTTTTTGCTCCTTAAAACATGAATGTTTTGCCCAGCAGCCCAAAAAAAAAAACGGAACAATTAAAGGTAAGATTAATTTTACATATATAAGATTAAATCACAAGAAAAAAATTAAAAAATTAATATTATGAATTTTAAATAAAATGTTCATATTATCATGCCCATAAAGTAATTGTGAATTCAATGATTGTAAGATTAATTTTTTTTTTTTTGAATTTTAAATTTATGGAGGAAATAATAAAAAGAAAAAAGAAAAGACAAGAATTTTTTATTTTCTCCTTTTACTCATAAATTTAAAATTAAAACACAAATATAATCAGTAAACATCATACCCAATTCACAAATAAAGGAGATAGAAGTGATAAAGTTAAAAGGGGAGAGCTTAATCTAAAATGTTAAAATCACATGTTTTTACCTAAAAAAGGAAAAGAAATATTCTATGTTGCCATCCCAAAAGTCAAGAAATTTGTGCTCATTGTTGTCAAAATGGGAAAAAAAATAAAATAAATTTGACAAAATTAATGTTTATTGGAACATGTATTTAAAAGCAGGCGGATCAGATAGTAAGTTGTTGAAGACTTCCAGCAAACTCCTGAGAAGTGGCTCCTTATACATAATCACAAGGAAATTTTTTTTTATGTAAAATAGTTAGTATATACAATTTTTTTTATTTGCTAATATTCACACTTTTACTTGCATGTATTATCACTACAGTTATATATTAAAATTTAGTTACATAAATGAAGACATTACAGACATCATTACAAAAATTAAAAAAGAAAAAATATAGCCTTGTTACATTATATTATAATTTAATAAAATTCAGTTTACGAAAAAAAAAACAAAAAACAAAGCAAAACAAAAAAACAAAAAAATCATCAAATCTTTGGAAAAAAAAACATTAAATGAAATATAAGTTATAATATCAAGTAAAAAAAATTGAACCAACTCCAATAAAATATCAATTAAATATTGCTCTTGTCGTATTTTTAGATATGAAATTACTCACTAAGCTTGCATAATTTGTAAGCGCTCTTTAACTTAAATTATGAACTAGATTAATTGAAATGAGTCTTTATTTTCGAACTTACATATGTTATAAGAGCTAAAAATTTTGATAAAATTTGAAGAACTAAAGCTATGGTTTGCCTGAAATAGTTAGTGTAGAAATTACTCGATGATCTTAGAGTAACACTCTACATTATTTATCGGATGATACTTGCTATGTAGTCTTTTCAAAAGTAACACAAACATATTCAGTCATATTGTTTTGAGTTATACTAGGAACCTCAAACATTCTACTAAATATTTTACCAAACCTCTTTGGTAGAATATTTGAGATACATAGCATTTCTCTATTATTTTAACCAATAAAAATTAAGTTGAACACCACAAGAACTTACTCCACGACTACCAAATAATTATCCAAGTCAACAACCTAAATAATTTATTTTTGAGCAAATTGCACTTTATCCCATCAACTTTGGTTGTTTATCACTTTACTTCTTGAACTAAAAATAGTAATATTTAACCCCCTTCATCTATAATTTTTTTTTTTTTCCAATTTGGACTTTAATGACAAAAATATCATTTAAGCTATATGGGAAAATTACACTTTATCTCATTGAATATTTTAAACAATTTTTTTAATATTTTAAGCAATGTTTTTAATTTTTAGATACATCAAATATAAATACACTTAAAAAGTATAATATTTGTGAAAAAAATTTACTAAATACAAAAAAATACAAAAACTTGGTAATTTTTTCGTATTGTTATATATTTATTGATTTTTTAAACAATTGTTTTTTAAAATATTTTACTTTTTAAATATATCTAAGTAAAGTGTATCTAAAAAAATTACTTAAAATTTTAAAAATATTCACTAAGAATAAAAAAAACACGAAAAATTAAAAATTTAATTTTCCAAAATTTGAAATCAAACCAAATGAATGTTGTCGCATTGAGTAGAAAAAATGATAGAAAAGAAAAAGAGAGGATAATACCATTTTAAACTTTTTATAATATTTGAAATGTTATGTGCATGTTGTGTTAATTTTACATCTATTTATGTAACAAATTCTTAACAAAATGCTCATATTGATATAAATTTACAATTCAAAGTGACAAAATATAACATTTTTCAGTTGAGGGGATAAAGTGTAAGTCATCTTATAACTAAAAGGATATTTTCATTATAAAAGTTCAGATTAAAAAATAATAATAATAAACAAAAGGAGTTAAGTGTTATAATTTTTAATTTAGGAGAATAAAGTGGAGATTGAATTTTCTCAAGTTGGCCATCTAACTTGAGAGAGTTTTGAGCTTGGTGGGTCTATTTTGGGGCTGAACTCAGTGATTCGAACTATTTAACTTTTAGCACTTGTTGTGTATAATATTAATATAAAAAATTAAGATGATCAAACATCAATATTTATATGTTTGAATAATATTTGTTATAAAAAATGAACGATAATTATAATTTTAAAAATAACTATTTATATTTTGTAATACAAATGTGATTTACACATATAATTATCAACATCCAATTATCATAATTTTTTATATGAATATTGCACACAATGAGTACTAAAAAATAGACCGTTCAAATCATTAATTAATCACAAAATAAGCTTACCAAATCCAAACAGCCTCTCAAATTAAGACAATCAAATAAGGTACCGTTTGGGAAGATAGTTTAGGAGTTTTTTTGGTTATTTTAGCCACAAAAGACAAAAGAGGTTATTTTAACCACAACAAACAAAATCTTACATTCAATCCATAATCATTACACTCTTCTCTCAAAAAAAAATCAAAAAAACTAAAAAGTCCTTCTCAAACTAAACTTTTTAGCCCAAATTAAAATAATTAAAAAAAATCAAAAAATCAACCACTTTGCAAACGACGCCCAGGCCATACATGTTTAATAGTGAATTTTTTTATTTTTTTTTAACCATTAACTTTTTCTAAAAGTGAGAAACTTAATTATTAATTATTAAAGAATGGTCTCACCGCCTATAATCAGCAAGTTGAACAATATTAACATGTGTTTCCAATTAGCCAAGTCCTCGCACATTCTTGGTAACAAGCACGTGTCACCACGCTCTTCAAGCGCGAGTGGGGCTCGCAAATCACCCACCCTTGATCGTTTTTCATTTGACAGTGTCGTGCTCATCTTCCTCTATTCTTACCTCTGTTGGTCCTGATTAGATAATCATTAATGAAATGCAGGCAAATGAACTCCAAATTCAAATGAAATGAAAGTGGGGCCTCTCCAATTCCTCCTCTCCCACCAAATGAAAATGTTATATATACCAGTCTACTCCTCCAAACCCAATCTATGTTAAAAGGGTCTCCTCTAATGGAAGACCTATAGATATATATAGAATCTGTGCATATTCTTATAATTTAGATACAGAGTCCTGAAAAATCAGGACTCCGGTCGCTAGCTACGGTGGTTTTAGTGGTGGTGGTGGTGGTGGTGATATATGGCGAAGGGTCGGAAACTAACAACTAGTCGCAGCGATCGTCTGTTGGGCCGATACAACTACGGTCAGGCCCAAGGAATGGTGACCGAGTCATCGGAGCTCGGTGAAGAGGACGTGTGGTCGATGGTCGATGACATGGTCAACGGCGGCGAAAATCACTCAATGGGCAGTTCCGGAGGCGCGTGGAGCCCACGCGCCGCCGCGGAGAGTAACGGGTCCATGAACTACCTAACCCGCCGGCACGTCGTTCCCCGTGAGGAGAGCCAACATGTGGGCGGGCTGTCACTGGCCTTTGAGGATTCCGGAAAAACGGCGTCGTCTAGGATCCTGCACCAATTCCGTACCCAGGACAGCATGGCGAGCCCACATGGTGGACGACATATGGCCACGTCAGCCCCAGTGAACGTGCCTGATTGGTCAAAGATTTACCGAGTTGACTCGGTCGAGTCGCTGCATGACTCGGATGACGGCGTGGAAGATCGGGACTCGGAGATGGTTCCGCCACACGAGTTCTTGGCGCGTGAGTACCGGAGGATGGCGGCGAAGTCGGTTTTCGAAGGTGTGGGCCGGACGCTAAAAGGCCGGGACTTGAGCCGGGTTCGGGATGCCGTGTGGAGCCAAACCGGATTTAATGGCTAAAACCATTATTGTTATTAATGCATCTTTTAAGAAGTGATTTAAAGTTAGTTGGTTGGTGGTTTTATTGCTAAATTGTTTTGGGTGGGCAATGACTCGACCGAGTGAACTCAGAGAGAACGAATCAACTCGGCAACGACTGAGCCCAACGAGAGGTGTCTCCGTTCTCTTCATCTACTCTGTCTTTAGTAGTTTTTGTGGTGTCCTGAGTTGGAATTTCGAAAATTGTGATGAGTCCTTGTCAGTGGTAAGTCGGTCATTTCAGTACTATAATGTTGTTCCAACATAGTATTATAGTGTGCCAGTGCCAATGAAATTTTGAGCTAGTAGTGTGGTGTCTCTTGGTATACCAAACTTGCTAATTATTGGGGGTAGCACTAGCATCTCCGTCCATTGGTTAGAAAGAAAGCTACAAATTTTATTTAATTTTTTAAAATGAAAAGAAAGCTATAATATACTTGTTTTTTTAATCGATCCCGGTACAGCAGCCGAAGATAAGGGCTCAAAATTAGAGGAAAGAAGAAGAAGAAGATAGGCCGGAGGCGGCGGCGGGCGGAGGCAGAGGTGAAGGCGGGGCTGCGATGTCGACGAGCGACGAGCCGCTATGATCCGCGACGATCGGCCAATGAGCTGCGATGTCGACGAGCTGTGACGACGACGACTCTGTTTCTCTCTCTCATCTCTGCTCTTCTCCTGTCTTCAACGAAGAAGAAGAAAAGAAAGAAAGAAAAGGAAGAGAAAGAAAAGGAAGAAAAAAAAAATTGAAATCCAAAACGACGTTGTTTTGAGTTTCGAACCAAATTCGAATCCCTAATTTCGAGTCCTCAAACATTATTCTTTTTTAATTACTCAAACGACTTGGGCATTTTTATCAAGAGAATTAATTAAAAATTTTATTTATTAAATAAAAATATGTTTACAAAAAACTAAGTCTGTTTATTGTATTTTTAGTTTTTTAAAAATGATTTTATAGAGTGATTAAAGTGACTTTAGTGAAAAAATAAAGTTGCCAAATGAGCTCTTGGAACTAATAATTGGCTGTAAATAACTCTCCAAAACCATCTCTCATAGTTTTGTTATTTTTTTAAAGTCAAATTCTAATAAATGTCCCTGGAGCATTATTTAATATTATAATTTTGGGTTTTTTTACTTATAGTTTGATTTAAATTTTACTTTAATTTATATAGTTTTAAATTAAATAATTTGGTACATTTTGAGTATAGTTTTATTTTGATTGTTCTGCCCAAATTAAAGAATAAAATTAATAATTTTGAGGCATTTGTCAATTTTTTAATGTGTACACGTAGATAAAATTAATAAAAATTTAAACGGACAAACTTAAATTGAAATTGAACTTAAAAGTATAAGGATCAAATTATTCAAATTTAGAGATTAAAATAAAATTTAAATAAAATTATAGGGGTGAAAGGGTAATTAACCCTAGAATTTTTGTATTAAAGTGTTTTGAAAATGGTAAAGATGTTGAAATTAGTATTTTTTTTTTAAATCTATGAAAAATATTTTGAAATTAGGAAAAAAAATTGTCTTGTATTTTCATTTTGTTTTTGGTTGTATTTTGCTCTTGTTCTATGAACACTTGTTAGCAATACTCTATGATAAAAGTATGGTGCTCTCTGTTCATAGTTTACGTTTCGTTTGAATTTTAAATTTTAATAAAAATATATAAAAGAAAAGAAAATATGTTATAATTCAAAATCTAAATACAATAAATGCAATGAGCTACTCATAATAGATAAGTTCCATAGTAGACTTCGTTACAAGAAGCACACTGTATTAGAAAGATGTTATTTGTGGGTTCATCCAAGTAGAGAAAAAGTGAGAATTAATAGATTAAATTGTGCTATAAAAGGTAGTTTTTTCTGGCATGTTTTTGGGAATTTTTATTTTTATTTTATTTTTTAAATGTTTGAGACCCTTTGACAAAGTTTTTTTTGATTTGATTCACAATAACATAACATGATAGATGTCAATTTATGATTTCTAATATACTAAATTATATAGATTCAATTCTTTTGTCATATTATTGTGAGTGAACTTGTAAGCCTAAAATATGAATTTCTAGCACTTTTCATTTTCTCGAGGTGTTGACAAATTTTGGTTATTACAATCCCTTTTACGTGTCGTTAAAGATGCCCTAATTATGCAAACTTCTAAAAATACTTTTGGATCTAATTAGAGAGTGCTCTCAAGCCATTGGTTAACAAACTTTGAAATACTTACATGGTTTTTATTATTTGCATTTTTATAAATGCTATTAACTATTTCAAACTTGTTAACAAGCGCATTTGAGCTGGGGGTCAACATTTGAACGACCCTACCTGAAAAAAAATGGTTGCTTAAGCTTGCTTGTGGATAAAAACCTTATGTTCAAACCCTACCCAATAGACTAAAAGATTGTCTCTCATAGGCCAATGGATGAGCTCGATGGCTCAACTTGTGGGCTTAGTCTAATAGATCAAGATTCAACGCTATTTTTTTGATTTTGTCATAATTTTTAGCCAGCTCGTGGGTTGTGGCGATAGATCGGTTTTCAAATCTGAAACCAGGCTAGCCCAAACCTCATTCAACCCAACCCTCTTTGCTTGAGGTATGAGCTTCGGCTAAGCATTGAGCATTCAAGCCAAAGTCATTGTAGTTCTGATTTGAATAATTTGAATTTTACACTTCCAATTTTGTTACAATGTGGTCTTTCCATCACTTGCAGTTACATTTTTAAATGAAAAAAAATTGTGTGCAAAATTAGAGACTAAAATAAAATTCAAAACAAACTACAGAAATCAGTGGTGTGAATTTTTTTATTCAAAATGTTAACAACGCATAATAAAAGATCACATTGCAACAAATTAAAAAAATAAAATTTAAATTATTCAAATTAAAATTACAAAAATAAAAATAAAAATAAAAATTCGCTCAAACTAAAATGATCAGTCATGTAAATTACCCAAAATGAAATAAATGATTGCAACTTGCAAGTACTTCATAACTTTGCTTTCTAGAATGATTACACCTTTGCTAATTAGTGCTGAATGGGTCCCTTTTTATACCCAATTAGACTAATTAAATACCAATTTAATTAAAAGAATTCAAAAGAACCTATTAGCTGAAGATTCAACTTTAATAATAGAACATAATAATCTGGAATCATAAGCCACAATTGGCACAAGAAACCAATCCAAGGTTGTTCACATTCCAATGGCACAAGAGTTTGTTGACTTCAAGAGTGGTAGAACGTAAAATAAAGGGTTAAATTTATTTTACCCTTTTATGAATTGGGACTGGAATATTTTATTCTTTTATAATTCAAATATAATTAGAAACTCTTCATATAATTCAAATATGAATTGGGACTGGAATATTACTGTTAATGTTTTTTCATTCAAATTAACCGAATGTGTATTATACATACTATTTTTTAGAATGAATTTTGTTTTCTAAAAAATAAAAATGAAATTAATACAACAAAAGGATAATTTTACCCTCACTTTTTCCAAACCTAAAATTAGATTAATATGTTAATTAAAATAAAATAAAATAAAATTAAGAATTAATCTAAAATATAAAATAAACAATAATTAAGAATTGATCTAAAATGTAATTAAATTAAAATTATATACATGTTAGAAATTATAATAAATAATTAATATTTTAGGATTAATTGTGATCTAAAATATAATTAAATTTAAATTAGATTAAAAAGTTAGTAATGACAATAAATAGTTAAATATTTAGGATTAATTGTTATCTAAAATATAATTAACTAAAAATTTAAGAATTACAATAAATAACTAAGAATTTATAATTACTTGTGAGTTAATTGAATTGATACTAGACATTATAAATAGGGATGGTAATGGGGGTTAATGGGGTGGATATTAATTCCCCATCCCCATCCCCCTATAATAAATTTTCCTCATTCCTCATTCCCCATTCCCCATGGGTACCACACTCCCCATTTCCTAATGGGTTTGGATTTTTCCCAACCCACTTTAATCCCCATTTTTATTTTATTTTTATTTTTTATATTTAATGTTAACAACCACTTTTTTTTTTTCTTTTTTTTAAAGGTTCACAACAAAAGCTAAATATACCTTCAATCTTTTTTCTTTTTTTTTAATATATTTAATGTTAACAACTTCTTCTTTTTTTTTTCTTTTCTTTCTTTTTTTTTACGGTTTTAGCTAAATATACCTTCAATCTTTTTTTTTTCTTTTTTAATATATTTAATGTTAACAACTTATTTTTTTTATTTTTTTTTATGGTTCACAACAAAAGTTAAATAAACATTCAATCTTATTTTATTTTATTTGGTTTAACAACAAAATCAAATACACATTAATTAATTAATTAAAAAGTTTGTTTTATAATAATCAAATATATAATTTTGAGACAATCAAATAAGTTTTAGTAATTAAAAAAAAATGTGGAAGAACGTTGAAGATTAAAAAAAAATTACAACCATCTCTCTCTCACTCTCTCACTCTCACTCTCTCCCCTACATGTTATAAGAACCCGTTTACAATGTTATAAGAGCATGTTTGAAGAAATAAAATGTGAAAGAACCTGTTTGAAGAAAGTGTTATAAGACCCACATTACATTGCATCAGGGCATAAACAAAAAATTGTTTGTTGATCTCTTAGCCACGGACATTTTAGACATTAAACCATCTTTCTCTTAGTAAATTTGAACCATTCATTTTAATTTATCTAAAATCTAATTATACCTTTTAACAAATCTGAACCACTCATTTTAAGATATCTATGCCTTACCACACCCAATCCATCCTCCATCTTCTTCCTTTAGTCCTCCACAAATTTTGTTGTTTGTTACTTTTAAAAAAACAAAAATATTTTTCAATTAAATTTTTTACTATTTCGCCACACCCATTCACCCTATTCTCACCTTCACTATCACACTACCAATAGACCATAGCCATACCCATCATCACTGCAGCCATTCATCCCACCACTATGTCACAATCTCTACTTTCACCTTTGTTCCATCCACCACCACACCAAATATAAAAAAAATATATTTTTAATTTCTTTTATAAAAAATATTTTCATTAAAAAAATTTTCTATCTAAATAAATAAAGCATAACATTGCGGAAACCAAGCTGATTTCAGTTAAATCTGTTCATAACTAAGAAAAATTCTTTTATTTTAAAAAAAATTATTTAGTAAAGAACTTTGTATCCCCTTTTTGTTTTTCTAGCAAATAAATCTTTGTACTCATCCTTTCTAATCAATCACGACTCATGCTTGTTTCGATTCTCTACAATTTTCCTTATTTCAAATACATTCATACTAATATATATAATATTATATATATTATATGTTGTATAAATTGTGTGATAACATAAAACAAATAGATTCATACTCGTTAATTGAAATTTCAGAATAAGCA